GGTTTTGTTTGGGTTCTATAATCTCGAAACACTGTATCAACTCCAGCTCTGAGATCCTGGCTGGCTGAAAGCGGGTTTCTGGGGTTTTGTTTAGCTTCTATATTTGCTACAATGTTTCAAACTGCAAGCTCAGAGGCCGGCAAGGCAGGCGGGGAACGTTGGTTTCCTCCGTCACTGAAGCAAGCAAGTCTCATGTTAGTTTCAAGCTGCCTGGCTGCCAGCGGCCATCTTGGCTGGCAGTTAATTTGCATATCACCCTGATTAGCCAATGGGAAGGGTAGCGGTCGTACACCAATTACCATGTTTCTCTTTTATTAGATAGGATATATCCTCATGTGTATATGAGAGATTTCCTTACAACAGATAAATGTTGAGAAACATTATTAAAGGGTTTTTAAACAACAATCTATACTTATGCCATGTACAGAATTACAATTAACTAAAACTGCATGCAGTGTAACCCAATTATTTACTCAGCAGACTGCAGAGGAGTGCTATTGCCCTGGCAGCTGTGGTCCCTTTTGGTCTGAGTTAACTGGCATATTTTCTGATGCACTTTTGTGTCCCATAAAGATTTATGTTCTGGACTACTCCCAGGTCATTTACTCTTTAACCTGACTCTCGCCTGCCACTCTTTCTGTTTTCTGTTATCTGACAATCCTATCCTCATCTTTAGATTTACACAAAACGTCAGCTTCCCACCAGCCTCCAGGCCCCGGCACACTCTGTGCATCTGCCAGCAAAGCTTCCCCTCCTCCTCCCGCCACCTCACCTGGGAAACGCCTACACACTTTGGTCCTCAACTCAAAGGTCTTTCTCAACAGAGTTCAGTTTCTGTACTTTATTTCCTTGAACACACACTCATTTGTGTACGCATCTGATTAAACTCGTGAGTCCTCTAAATTACATGTTCCATGAGGTTAGGGTCGGTCATTTTTAAAAAATCACTGCCTGTTACAAAGAACCTAGCCTGGCCAATGTTCATAAAATGATTTCAAGCAACAAGTAATGTATAAACGTAACAGTTATGATAAACAGTGGGACAACACTATTCACCCAATGATTATAATTTGGGAGAAAATGAATATGCATAGGAAAAAGACCAAGAAATTACATTTAAGAAGGAGGGGGAAATAAGTACATTTGTATTTATGTGTGTGTTTTTTAAAATACATTTTAATTGATTTTTTACAGAAAGGGAGAGGGATAAAGAGTTGGAATACTGATGAGAGAAACAGCTATCAGTTGCCTCCCCAGCCCCCTACTGGGGATCACGCCCCTTCCCTGCCCCCCCTCCCCCGCCAACCAAGGTACATGCCCTTGACCCAAATGGAACCTGGGACACTTCTGTCTGCAGGCCCACACTCGATCCACTGAGCCAACCCAGCTAGGGCTGTATTTATGGTTTTTTAAAAACACACACTAAATGGAAACAATAAACTAATGCAAGTGGTACCCTGTGGAGGGGTAGTTTTCTAATGTACGCTATGTTTTAGAAATCCCATTTTGATGTTTTGAGTCATTAGAATGCATTACCTAATCAAAAACTGTTAAATGTTTGCAATACGGAGCGTGGCTAGTGTTTTGGACAGGTTCAAGCTGTGGACTGAGGAGGGGGCACAGTCATCTCGTTGCCACATGCAAGTCCCAGCTTGGAGGGCAGAGCCCTCCCAGCACAATTATAGCCAATAGCTATAGCTGTAAGCTGGAACCTATGGTCCAACCACGTGGCCCCACGTGCCTGAGTGATAGAGTTCAGGTGCATGTAGTTGAGTAGGGTTGAGAACAAGGAGAATGTTATAAACAAGGTGATCACGCCCCTACTTTGCCTCCTGGCATCTGCTATAAAATAAAGACACGGCTTATGGGCGCCGGCACTGTCTCTCTGTCAGAGGAGCAGCGTCCTACCGAGACCCAGCTTTCATTCTCTTGTCTGTCCTTTCTCAATCCTTTCACCCCCCCACTCAGGGTCACTGAACCAGGCTGAGCTGGCATGAGTATGCCATGGCCGTGCGGGCTCCCCACACTGCAAGACAGAAAACAAAGTAAAACACAGTGATTACCTCGGGATTGTGGGGCAAAGATTTTGCTTTCTAGTTCTACACAATCGCTCCGTTTTCTACAATTTACATGAATAGCCTTTGTGGTCAGGAAAAGGATGCACTTTAGGGAAGACCCTTGGCCGACTTGCGGGCAGTGTCCTGAAGTTGGGACCCGGGCGCCGCGAGGCCCCGGTGCCGGGGTGGCTCTGCTGGGGTGGGAGAGACCGGAGCAGGCAAGAACCACGAGAAAGGGAGACGCTACCAAGGCGAGCAGAGGAGGGAGCGGGCGGCGCCACTCCCGCGGGGCCGTCCACGGGCCAGGGGCCCCTGCTCAGCCTGCAAGGTCTCGGAAGCACGGAGGGAAAAAAGGAAACGGGGAGTGACAGCGGGTGGCGGATGCCACGGAGCAAAGACATCAGGCAAGGGTGGACGCACCTCCACAGGGACCGCCCGGTCCTGTGAGAAAAGCTGCACAGCGGGGAGGAAGCGCCACACCTCCCGGCCGTTCCCCAGGCCCGCCCCTCGGCGGCGGCGGCGCGGCGGGAGGCGGGCGCAGGAAGGGGCGGGGCTACGAGTACGGCGTCCGTGCGCGATCTCGCGAGAGCAGCAGACGGCGGAAGTACAGTCTGCAGGATGCGGTTCCTGGTTGCGTTGGTCCTCCTGATGGTTGCAGCGGCGGGTAAGACCCCTGCCCCCAAGGAAATCCCACTCTCGCCCGCCAGGCCCATCATCCTCACCGTGGCCCGTTGCCTTCTGAGCTTGCTTCGTCCCTGCCCGGCTCACCCCTCCCTCGCCATCGCCGCCACCGTTTGCCGGTTGCTCCAGTCTCTTCCACCTCTGAGGTATCCTTTATCTCGGCCTGCCTCTTTTTTTGTTGTTGTTGTTGATTTCAGAGAGGAAGGGAGGGAGAGAGAGAAACATCAATGGTGAGAGAGAATCATTGATCGGCTGCCTCCTCCACACGCCTTGCTGGGGACCCAGCCGAAACCCGACATGAGCTCTGACCGGAAATGGACCCCTGACCGCCTGGTTCATAGGCCCACGCTCAACCATTGAGCCACACGGGCCGGCCACGGCCTGCCTCTCTTGAGGGCCAACTGGTTTCTCTCTTTCAGAAGCCGAGGAGTCCACTTCTCCGTTACCCACTCAGAAGAGTATAACGAATACAGAAAGAGTCGCCACCCAGTTCTCCCCCAGCCTCCTGCCTCAGAATAATCCACAGGCTCCAACACAGCTCACGGCTGTCAGCTCTACTGGGTCAGACTCACAGCAACAGTCCACAGGAGACAACTCAAACCAGTCAAATGAGGGCCACCAGTCCACGGGAGACAGTCCTGATGAGTCGGATAAGGACCACCAGTCCACGGGAAACAGGCCCGATGAGTCGGATAAGGACCGCCAGTCCACGGGAAACAGGCCCGATGAGTCGGATAAGGACCACCAGTCCACGGGAAACAGTCCTGACGAGTCTGATAAGGACCACCAGTCCACGGGAAACAATCCTGATGAGTCGGATAAGAACCACCAGTCCACGGGAAACAGTCCTGACAAGTTGGATAAGGACCACCAGTCCACGGGAAACAGTCCTGATGAGTCGGATAAGGACCACCAGTCCACGGGAGACAGGCCCGATGAGTCGGATAAGGAGCACCAGTCCACGGGAGACAGGCCCGATGAGTCGGATAAGGAGCACCAGTCCACGGGAGACAGGCCCGATGAGTCGGATAAGGAGCACCAGTCCACGGGAGACAGGCCCGATGAGTCGGATAAGGACCACCAGTCCACGGGAAACAGGCCCGATGAGTCGGATAAGGACCACCAGTCCACGGGAGACAGGCCCGATGAGTCGGATAAGGACCACCAGTCCACGGGAAACAGTCCTGATGAGTCAGACAAGGAGCACCTGTTCACGGAAAACAGTTCTGAACCTGAAGGGGGCTCTCCACCCAAAGAAGAGAAGGAAATGCCTGGCCCTGCCTCTGGAGAGAACCTTGAAGGAACACTTTTGGATTCCGTAAATAGGAAGAAGGATGACCTTTATAAGGAGAATCTTGGAAGTGCGGAGAGCAGTCACTTCTTTGCATATCTGGTGACTGCAGCCATTCTTGTGGCTGTTCTCTATATTGCCTATCACAACAAGCGGAAGGTAAGTCAACAGTTAGCTCAAGAGGAGGAATGGGATGTCTTTCACCCTGAAAGCTTGGTGTATGGGCCAGTACTCATCACTTACCTGCCTGTGAGCACTGGGTATTTTATGACATGTCAGGTGTTTTTTTCCAGAACCTGCTAGGGCTCTACTCTTGTTTTATACATCATTTGTTTTCATGACTGTTTCCTCTGAGTGCTCTCTGCTGCTGTATTAGGTGCCAAGTTAGGATGTTATTACAATCTGACCTGCTTTGGGGTCTCCTGTAATCTTGAACTTAGATCCTTCACAGCCTCAGAGGACCTGAGTACCTGACAGTTTGTAAGTAGTTGGAGCACTTATCTTCCAGTTTCCACTTTCAGTGCATCATTTCTAGCTTCCTTTGCTAAGTTTTTGTCTTCCCCCTCCAATGGCAGAAAGAATGATTACATAATCTTTGACATCAACAGCAGAGAGCCCAGGGATTATCTTTGTAGTCAGTTGAATTTCTGATTAGAAGAAGGAACAGAGCCCTGATCGGTTTGGCTCAGTGGATAGAGCGTCGGCCTGTGGACTGAGGAGTCCCGGGTTCGATTCCGGTCAAGGGCATGTACCTTGGTTGCAGGCACATCCCCAGTAGGAGGTGTGCAGGAGGCAGCTGATCGATGTTTCTCTCTCATCGATGTTTCAAACTCTCTATCCCTCTCCCTTCCTCTCTGTAAAAAATCAATAAAATATATTTTTTAAAAAAAGAAGAAGAAGGAACAGAAATTGCATAGGTATACTCATCTTTTATTTCTTTAGCAAGATTTGGTGTGAAGTAGTATCTGTGTCACTTAGTAATCATGCCAATGACAAAATAATTACATTTCTTATTGAACTCTAAGAATTTAGTAGTTTCTGTAGCCTGGTCAAAATTGGAGAGTTCAATTCATGATGGCCATAAGGCCTGTGGCTATAAGAAATGAGGGACTCATTTAGTTAATAATGGTGCATTCTTATTCTACATTCAACATCATGGAGAGTAACCTTAGGCATGAAATGAGTGTAAAGTTAAGATGAGGCAGGCCGAACCGGTTTGGCTCAGTGGATAGAGCATTGGCCTGCGGACTCAGGGGTCCCAGGTTCGATTCCGGTCAAGGGCATGTGCCTTGGTTGCGGGCACATCCCCACTGGGGGGCGTGCAGGAGGCAGCTGATCAATCTCTCATCGATGTTTCTGGCGCTCTATCCTTCTCCCTTCTTCTCTGTAAGAAATCAATAAAATATATTTTAAAAAAAAAAGATGAGGCAAAGTGTGGAGTGAAAGAGTGCATTTGCAGAAAAAAATAATTATGATTTGTTTTCTTTAAAAAAAAGGTGGGGAGAGAGGAGAAAAGAAATGTCTTAGCCTACAGCTCTCCAGGGAGGAGTTGTCAGATCTTTGAGTATTCTTGAGTAAATTAGCAGACTGCCACAAACTAGAGCCCAGAACAGCTTTCCTCCCTCTATCATTGCTGATTTAGCAGTACACAGGATTGTAATGGAACTAAGCCCTGTTCTTAAAATTGTTATAATTTAAACCAGTGCACGAATTCGTGCACCTTGAAAGGAACTGTGGGCCATGAAGCTGCAGTGGGCTCAGGGGCGGGTCTCGGCCCATTCTCCATGCCCCTTCCCCGTCCCTCCCACCGTGTCCCCCCCCTCCGCCTCCCCTGTCTGCGGGCAGCCGCCACCACCGCTCCATTGCTCTGATGGCGCTAGCCCCACTCACACCTGCTGACGGCGCACAGAGATTGGGGCCAGCACCAGCAGTGGGTGTGAGCGGCAGCTGCTGGCCCTGATCGCCTCTGAGGGCTTCTCCACCTCCCCCTGCTCCTGAGCAACTGGGGCTGGCACTGGGTGCTGGCAGTGGGTTCTAGTGGTGGCTCCAGCACCAGCTGCAGGTGTGAGCCAGGCCAGTGCTGGCAGCAGGTGCGAGTGCCGGGTGGGACCATAGTGCACGGGAGCAAAGAATTTTCAGTAACCACCAGAGGCTCACTCTGATGACAGTGACCGGTGTCCCGCCTTGGTCTGGCACCCCCGCTCACCTGCTCCACCATCCCGCCGTGGCTGATATGCCCACCATGTTCCATGCTCTGCTGCCTGCTGCCAACGCCCGCCATGTTCCGCGTGTGCCCCCTAGTAGTCAGCGCATGCCATAGTGACCAGTTGTTTGGTTATTCTGTTTTCCGCCGTTTGGTCTGTTTGCATATTAGGGTTTTATATATATAGATAGGCCTTTTTGTGGGTGTACGGCTCTTTTTACTGTCAGGTTATTAACAAATGTACTACTAGGTGATTACCTCTAATTTCAAAAACTGAAATGTGTCATTATAGAGTCAGTTGTTAATCTTTTTTTTTTCCTTTCCCCAGATTATTGCTTTTGCCCTGGAAGGAAAAAAATCCAAACCTACTCGGCGGCCTAAGGCCAGTGACTACCAGCTTTTGGACCAGAAGGTAAGGAAGGAAAACCCAGGTCCATGGGAGGGCTATGCAGTCTCAGCTGAGCACAGCAGTGGGCTGGCATTTGGCTCAGATGCAGCAGCTGATTCTGGGGTGCTGCCACCATTACCCCTGCCCTTTTCAGATCACGAAGTAGAGACATCATGTACACATGTCTGTAGTGTTAGAGCTGAAGAGAGCTTTAAGTATGTTACAACAGCTCCCTCCCTTGACAGATGAGCAAACTCAGGCCCAGAAGTCATGATTTACCCCCACTTAAATTCCCACCTCAAGGTCGTGGCAAAATCAAGACCTGATGGGAACGCCCTAGGCTTCCATCCTGTGGTTTTTGTACTACACCAGCACTTCACAAATTTTCATAGGCATTGTGATAGAAAGCAAAATCTGATTCACTAGCTGTGGGGTGGAGCCTGTGCTTCTACATTTCTAGGAGGTTCCTAGGTGACGCCAAATGCTGCTGGGATCACGTGTTAGGGAGCAAAACTCTAGACTACACTCCCTAGAAATAAACGAGTTCAGAAACATAGGCCTCCAACTTCCCAGATCAGCCCTGCTAAGCATTGTTGACTAGATTTCCTGAATGCAGCCAACCCATGCCTCTGCCAGGAAGCAAAGCCCTCTTTCCACCCACAGCAGCGGGAGCTGAAGAAAGGGTCTCCCCAAAGGCAGCCTGTCTGAGCTCAGTGTACTCCCACAGCCTTGCTGCCAGCATGCTCCCGTCTGCAGCTCAGCAAGGGCTGGGTGAAGAGTTGCTGGCGGCCCAACTGGGAGTTGTTTCCAGACTCCTGCAGGGAACACAGTTCATGTGTACAGCTCATACCAGCTACAGAATAGGCCACTCAGCTCAAAACATCTTGCTGCCTGGCCCAGTAGATCAGCCTCACAGTATAACCCTGGCCAAGTACCTTTCCAGATAATTGACTTTAAGGATTGTCATTCCTGTTCATTATAATCTTTTTCTGATTTAAGAAAATGCACATGTAAACAATTCAGAATACAGAATGCTACAAAGCAGAAGCTAAGCTTCCCATATTCCCTCCACTAAGTGTGGATCTCTCTAGTGTATGGGTTTGTTGTTTTTTTAAATATATTTTTATTAATTTCAGAGAGGAAGGGAGAGAGAGAGAGAGAGAAACATCAGTGATGAGAGAGAATCATTGATGAGCTGCCTCCTGCATGCCCCTGCTTAGGATGGAGCCCACAGCCCAGGCATGTGCCCTGGCTGGGAATCGAACTGTGACCTCCTGGTTCATAGGTCAACGCTCAACCACCTGAGCCATGCTGGCTGGGCATCTAGTGTATGTTTTATTTCAAAATGAATTTTTAAATAATTTTGCGTGCTTTTTATCAATTACTGTTTGTATGGTGGAGGGTCAGTTTGTCTTAATTCTGGATTTTTTTTTCTTTGAGCTGCAACTCTTAAGATCTTTTTTACCCCCAAAATCATAGCAGTAAGTTATATTCCTCTGGAAGAAGGTGAACATCACCAATGCATTGTTACTCTCGTTTCAGATTTGATCTTTCTGTTTTTGAGAACCTCGTCCTCCCTGCTGATTTGTTTCTAAATCAAGATAATGAAGATAAAAGTACTGTGAACTAAGAGCTACCCTCTAGGGTTGGTGGCAAGTCCAGGCTGGCAGACATGGGGGGTGGGGAGCATGGCTTTGGTTTTTGCACCGGCACTTTAGTGACCCTGTGCTCCTTTGTTCCCATTATTTATGCTGGTGTCTTCCGTCCTTTCCCCCACTTAGTATGAGTAGAAGGAGCGAGCAGGTGGGAACCCAGTTTTGACCAAATGGAGATCCCAGCCCCTGGCAGGCTAGTGCTGCTGACCGCCCTGGGCGCCTTGGGCCTCAGCTCTATCGTGAAATTACCCCTAGAAAGTAGCATTGCACTTGCCACTATTTATTTTTGCAGACCTAGGAGAAAACTCAACTGCTTGAGGTACTTTACACCAGGACCTCTTACTTTGGGGGGATGTGCCGTACAAGAGATCTACAAGGTGAATGCTGATGGGCAAAGAGCTACATTGAACACATAATTCTTTTCAAATGCTTCAGCAGTAAACCAAAACAATAGCTTAAAAAAATGCTTTACTGCCTGCAGGTTCAACCCATCTAGCACATTTTCATATTATGTAAGACAAAGTGAGTCAGCTTCCATTTGGTTGTACTGAGTATAAAACTGAACTTGGGGCTCCTGGGAGTAGAGCTGTAAAGCCACTGTTCCCATTGCAGATTTTTAGAAATAAAGTTGTGATTATTGAAGCACTGTTTTTTCTTATAACCGTAACAGGACCTTTTTGAATTAGAGTAAGTTCATGTGCAAGAAAACAAATAGGAGGGTTTTGGTTTGGGTTTGCGTTATTTTCAAAGACCTTTTATGAAATAGATTCCCCACAAACTCTGTTTTACCTCTGTTGCCTAAAACAGACAAAATAGACATATTTAGAAACTAACCAGGCTCTTTCTTTTACCTTAACCTAATTAATGGTCCCCTCATCTAATATAAAATGCTAAGTAGGGGTAGTTAGTAAAACTTCTATCCCATGGGAAGGGTTATTAAAATTTAAGAAATTCACAGAGTTCCCCTGGGGTAACTGAGAGTAGTGTCTTAGGTCACACTGTTTGAAGTTTTATGTAGCTCTAGTCATGTTATCCTATTATAAAGAGCCTGAAGAGTTGTTTCTGCAAAGGAAAAACTGAAATAGAATAACCGATCTCAAGAAATACAAAGATGTGGGAAGTGAGGGAATATGACGAATTCTGTGCTATGGAAGAAGTAAGTCTAAAGAAGGGACCATGTGTTTGTCATATTATCATCATCCACCTTGCTTAGAACAGCGCATGGCTTCCAGTTGAGGTTTTCATTCATTGCAGAACCTGTTTGTGGAGATCAAGAATGAATGAATGCTCTTCTTGTCATCATTTCTTTACTTGTGCACCAGTCTTATACTTTCCTCCAATCTGAGAAATCTTCTATCAGGCTCCCCTAGCATTCCCTAAGACCTTGATTATTATAGTCCCTTTTCCGTCTCCCCTGTCCCTGCCTTCCCTCCTCTAATGTTTTCTATTTCAGCCTATCTACACTAACACTTTTTCTCCAACCTTCATGCTTACACAACACCCCCCCCCAGCCCCCATCCATCCTATTTGTTATTCAGTCTGCTCATCAACTTCTTCAGTAAGTGTTGCTTTCATTACTTTGTCATTCACTCTCTTCATAACCTTTACAAGCTCACTTTGGTCCCTGTCTTTCTACTAAGTGTTATTCCATAGTTTCAGATCATCAAATCCAATGGCTTGTTCTCAAAACTTAGTCTTGATATTGATAGAATTGGACACTGTTGACCATCCAAATAGAAATTCCCCTCTTTTGGTTTCTTTGACAAAGTGTCCTTATGTCAAGAACCCCTTTGTCACCCTAGCCGGTTTGGGTCAGTGGATAGAGCATCAGCCCTTGGACTGAAGGGTCCCGGGTTTGATTCTGGTCCAGGGTACATAGCTCGTTGCCAGCTCAATCCCTAGCCCTGGTTGGGTCATGTGTGGGAAGCAACCAATCAATGTGTCTCATCAGTGTTTCTCTCTCTGTCTCTCCCCCTCCTTTCCACTCTCTGAAAATCAATGGAAAAATATCCTCAGGTGAGGATTAACAACAACAAATTTTTAACAAACAAAAAAACTCCTTTGTCTCCTCAGAAATTCATTCATTCTTCATTCCCAGGTCGTTAGCCTTGGCATAGTTCCCAAAGAAACAGTCTGTTGTGTGCTCTTTTCAGCATGGTTGTCCTAAAAATTCTAAAACTCAATTTTTTCTACCGATTACACTGTCTCTTTCAACTGCCCAATTTCTTTAATCCTCTCAACTACAAACTACAAACTTACACCATTTTTATTTCTTGTCACAAAAGTCCTATGCTTTTTAAACAAAAAATGTCTCGAGCTGCAATCTTTCTTTCCATTTTCCTTGCTTCCCTGTCCCACACCCATTCCACCTCTCTCCCGGATCTCTTTTTCAGGAGCCACCTTTATTGGTTTTCCTGTCCATCTTCTCTTGTGTGCATAGGGACCAGATTGACCTGAAACACTTGCCCTGATCTGAAGCTTCTGTCTGTGTCCCTTATGGCTTAGAGGCAAGTGTATAGGCTCTTTTGTATTCAAGACTTTGCAGATGGGCACTGCCCTGCCTGTCTTTCTCTACAGTCTAGCCAGGCCAAAAGCCCCTATTGTTGGGCGCCCTACTGGCCTCTGTGTTTTTTTGTTCCTGCGGTGTCC